TCATTTGATTCTTTGATAGGAAGTTGGTTATGGATTTCTTTCTTCTTTTGATGATATAACAAGACCAGGAGATGGTTTTGAGGTTTATGTTTTGTTTCTATAGAAATCTATAGCTTGAATTCATGCTTTGTTTCCATTTGATTATGATGTTTAGGATCATCATTTGATCGTTTTACAAAGAGAGACATTGAAACAACAAATTTGGGTTCAAAATGCCGTGGATGGGTCTCTCTAGAACTTCCAGTTGTTTTTTCGAATGTCAGAAGATTCTGCACTCTTTTGACTGGAGAAATGAAAGATGAAAAGTCAGATTTTGGTGACAGTTGTTTTGATGCGCCTAAACTTAAATACTGCACAGAAGAATCTGTTGATTTCACTAAGATTGTTATTGACAAACTTCCAATTGTTATTATAATTGGACGCCCTAATGTTGGAAAATCCGCTTTGTTTAATCGGTTGGTATTGCTATGATATTCTTTGTCTATAGTCATTAACCATGTCATTTTATTAATATGGTTGTCTTGTAAATGTTGGTATGTGATATTGTAGGTTGATACGAAGGAGGGAGGCCCTTGTGTACAACACGCCTACTGACCATGTTACTCGAGATATTCGTGATGGGATTGCGAAATTGGGTGATTTGCGGTTTGGGGTGTTGGATTCTGCTGACTTAGAGGCAGAGGCTTCCTCTGGTTCAGTTCTTCAAAGAACTGCAGAAATGACTAGGAATGTGCTGGCAAGATCTCAGTTTGCACTCTTCTTAATTGATGCACGGTATGGTAGACTTATCATCAAATTTTAGCATATTAATTGTTCTGTATAATAATGTCCTTATTGACTAAAACATTACTTCAATGAAGTTGGAACAAATGATACTTCCCAGTAACTGAGAAAAAAATGAAGGTAGACCTGGATGAGTTTAGATTTGATGAAGACAGTGCATGTTAAATATAAAATGACTGTAATTTATCATTATTTCTTTTATTTTTTTGAAGAAATAATTTATCATTATTTCTAAAATGTACTCTATGTAAGTCTGTTGCATAACTAGACATTAGCTAGATGAATATGTGCTGACTTTTCTAGTCTTATACTCTTATTACATATGATGACTAATAATATATGTGAAAACTTAAACACTTGGAGCTTGTACTAGACTACTAGGTTGCTTGAATGTGACTGCAGGACATTGCTTCTTTTTTATTGTTTGTTTTTTCTTCCTTCTTCAGTTTATACATTTAAAATCCTTTTGTACTATTTTTTTTAACTAGAGAGGGATTGCAGCCAATGGATATAGGTGTTGGGAAGTGGCTGAGGAAACATGCTTCTGGGATTAAGATTATTGTAGTTATGAATAAAGCTGAAGCACTTTCTGATAGTGATGGTTCTCTCGCTGCCGCTGCAAGTGAGGCATATAGATTAGGATTTAGAGATCCTATTGCTTTATCTGCTGAAACTGGATTTGGCATGGCTGAACTTCATGAAACACTCGACCATTACTTCAGAAGTATGTTGTTCAAAACTTAAATGGTAAGGCACTTCATCGGAGTTTATGATGATTTTGAAGCCTTTACGATATTTGATGCTTTCTTTCCTTTCAATATATCAGTTTTAATTTAAAATTTTTTGAGCTACTACATGTTGGAGCATCTAGAGCATTTCATTGGTGTCTCCATTTTGCTTATTGGTATTGCATTTGGTGTCATTTCCTCCCCTATTGTCTGCTAGGTTGTGGGTTCAAACCCTGGAAAGAACTTATCTGAACATTGAGGTAGGTTATGAAAAAATTCCTTCCACAGATCATAGTTCAGAGTTGAACACTGTTTTACCCATTTGCAATATGAATCGGCAAAGTGACTTTGAAGACCTTTAGCATGCCAAAGGGTTAACTATATCTAGCCTGAATTATCCATATATGGAATAATTGAAATGACAATAAAATTTCCAACTTATGAATTGGATATAGTAAATTTTTATTTGATTGTCAAAACCTTAATTTTTCTATTCTTCTAATTAGTTGCCAAACATCTAAAATATTGTTTTCAAATTTCAACCACTAGGTTCAATATGTGTTGCGAAGTGTAAAGCTCTAATGCATAAGTGCTTAGCTTATGAGTCTGAATAATAATCATGGTCAGATTAACCTAAGATCTTGTTAGGGGAGTCAAAAGAAAATATAACTCTACGGTTTAAAGAAATTGAAAAATCTTTAACAACATTTGTCAACTTCTTTTTGCCACATATATTACATTGGGATTCTTAGGGCAGAAATTTTAGTTTAAGATGTGAAAACACTCCAATATGTTTGGTGATTCGGCTCGCTGTGTCTTTTTACATTGCCAAAGTTTTGGGGGACTTTACATTTATGTGATGCAAATTTATGAATTATGTTTTGTTCACACCTTTGAATCTTCCCCTCTTTTTAATTAATCTACGATTAATTACAAGAGCAGTTTTCAATGAAGTTGTGTGTTGAAATTGACATGTTCATAGCTACAGAGACTGCACTAGCTAATAATGTTTTATTTTAAATGCCCAAATTTTGGAGTAATTAGAATATATTTTATTGATGAATGATCTTGACATTTTACAAAACATAGATTATGAAGATGAAGATAATCAGGAGAAAGAATCCTCCGATAACATGGAAGCCAAGTTGCCATTACAGTTGGCAATTGTAGGGCGGCCAAATGTTGGAAAGTCCACGTTGTTGAATGCAATATTACAAGAAGACCGTGTTTTGGTTGGGCCAGAAGTCGGTTTGACTAGAGATTCAATCCGGACACAATTTCATTATGAAGGGAGAACTATTTATTTGGTACGATTTAGTTGTCTTCTGTCTCTCTTTACAAGGACCATTCTCTTTCATAATATCCCTTCAACTACAAGGTTGATCAATTATGCGAATAAATTATTATTTGGATATGATGTCCTTCTGTACGTTTTTCTAAAGTATATTCAAGCTGGTCACAAATAAAAACCAAACAGCCCCTAAAATCAATAAGTGGAGTATATATAAAGTTTCTGCACACACACAAAATACATCATTATGCCCTTCCGTCTTTATCTTTAATATCTCTTGGTCGATATTGTACATACAAAGACACTATACACATTTGAAGTTGCTGAGCAAAAGATTTGATAAATAATTGTACTCTGCAATTAAATGACATTGCCTTCTTGTCTTTTAGTTATTATATGCTTTATCTCTGAATCACATATTTTTTCCATCTGTGAAGTTTTGCGTTTTCAAATTCTATTTCATAATTATGTGTTGAGTAATGTGCAGTTCTATTTCATTTCCAGGTTGATACCGCAGGTTGGTTGGAAAGGACAAAGCAGGAAAAGGGACCTGCATCTTTGAGTGTAGTGCAATCAAGGAAGCACCTAATGCGAGCTCATGTAGTTGCATTGGTCCTCGATGCAGAAGAGGTATGTGAATCATTATTTTATATTGTTGTGTGTGTAAGCCTTAAAATTAATAACAAGAAGATGAAGAAGAAACGAAACAAAAAAAAAAAAAAAAAAAAAAAAAAAAAAAAAAAAAAACTATGACCTTGCATCATGATATGAGAGCGTTGTAGTGTTGTTCCAAATCTAACTTTTTATGACATGTTCAGAAGCAACATACCTTAATGATTTTTAAAAGAATTGTTTGTCCGATTTGTTAATTTAATGAAAATCATTTATACTGATAAATATCTCGGGCGATTTCCTAAAGTATATAATGCCTGATTATTACAAGCATTTGTTTTCAGAAACAAACCCTTTGTTCATTATTTATACGAGATTGCTTTCTGCTAACTAGCTTAATCATTCTATGGTGACTAGATTGCCAGAGATAGGCGGAGCATGAAGCATGTTGAAGTAGTCATTGCAAGGAGAGCTGTGGAGGAAGGGCGTGGTTTGGTTGTAGTTGTAAATAAGATGGATCTTCTTAGAGGGAAACAAAACTCAAAACTCTACCAGAGTGTCGTCAAAGCTGTTCCCGAAGAAATTCAGACAGTAATACCCCAGATTTGTCAGCACGCGACAATTTTACTTTTGTGATGGGAACGAGAGAGGTTTTTTAGCATTCACGCTTTATATTTATTTTCCTCTGTTAGTACAACACACGGATTTGATCCGAGGTCCATTTAAATTCATTTGCAGATCACAGGAATACCTGTTGTGTTTGTTTCGGCACTCGAAGGAAAAGGGCAAACAGACGTGATGTGTCAGGTTGTTGAAACATACGGAAAATGGTGTCTAAGATTGCCAACTGCTCGTCTCAACCGCTGGCTACTCAAGGTTTGAGAACCGCCCCTTGTTCATTCATTTATACCCTATTTCCCCGAAGTACTACTCTATGCTTATTGTGTTCCAACGCCATGGTAGGTGATGAGCAGACATTCATGGAAAGATCACGCCGCTCAACCCAAGATTAAGTACTTCACTCAGGTGAAAGCGAGACCGCCAACATTTATCGCGTTTGTAAGCGGAAAAAACCAGCTGTCGGATACAGATCTCAAGTTTCTAACGAGATCTTTGAAAGAAGATTTTGATATGGGTGGCCTTCCAGTGAGGATATTGCAGCGAACAGTTGAAAAAGGTTCTATGAATAAAAGTGGTAAGAAGAACATGCAATCTATGGGGAAAGTAGTGGAAAGAGTAGTTTCTGACAAAAGGAGTATTCTTTCCCTAGAAAACAACTCATCAACTTGAAAATCTATATCTATATACATATAAAAGCCACTAATTTTCAGCCAATCAAATGGCTCCATTTTCCTGCCTTTCGTTTTTTTTTTTTTTTTTTTTTTTTTTTTTTTTTTGGGGTGAGTGGAAGGCCATATTTGTAGGGGAGTGACCTATTGCCTATTTGCGTATCCACATGACCTGCTACTTGATAGGAAGCGTGTGATTTCAACCAAGCTGTGTACGGGACTGCTGTATTGTTGGCAGAGTTGGTATTTCTTTTTTTTTTTTTTACGGCAGCAGGTATAGCTCTATCGATGTTACAGTTTCACTACCAGAGTTCCAAGCTTATATATAGAAGATACATGTTTTGAAACTTCAGCCTCTATTCAAATACAAACTTCAAAAACAAATTACATATTTTTTCGATGAAGGAAGATGTCTGGGCAGTTTTTTGTGGGTGCGCAGCTTCATCCTTAGCACATCCTCAGCAGACCACCAAGGAATCTACTATTGAGTTAATGCCAACATCCTTTCTTTTGGAATTCTAATTTACGTAAGTTGTTTAATATGCACACAAAAAAGAAAACTTTTAGAGAAAGGATCAATAGTTAACAAATGCAGGCAGAATGAAAAGGATGAAGGAATCAACAAGCATACATGGAAAGAGAAAACTTTTAGAGAAAAAAAAAGGTACAATGGAAGCATACATGGTGTTTTAAATTCAAGCTTTATCAAATTTTCACTTACTATTTGATTTGCATCTTGCTCCTGTTTTGCTTGTGATATGTGTCTCAACTCTGCACCATCTACACCATATTTATAAAACAATTGTGTTAGTACTAAAAACAAACATGCATTCTGACCTTGAATAGTTGCTATCAACAAGTAAATATTAGTTGTGAAGTTCAATCCTTAGTCCTTTATCTGTCTATGCATATGCTTCCAAGTGAATTGTAGTCATGAAATTCAATCTTTTGTTGTAAATCTGTCTATGCATATACTGAAAAAAAAAGGGAAGACAATAATTGATGTGAATGCCCCTGTTGGCTTTTCTAATGTTTCACTATAGTACATTAGTACCAGTGGACTCAAGTTATTCAGAGATTGAGCTGTAGTTGAATTAGACTATGATATGCTCAGAGGTGACCTCTTTGGAGAAAGAGGCATGGTGCAAAATAACAAGACAGATGGGTCTGGTTTCTACCGCAATACAAAATACAAGGTAGCATTATGTTTTGAGTTTTTTTGGTCCTATTCATTATCTAACCTCACATTGGTGATAAGAATGAATTCCTATTCAGCTTTGTTGGATTCTACTGAAAAATTGTGATATAATATTTGAATAATTTATTTCTTATTTAAAGTACAAAAACAAGCCATCACCTTTCATGAGTACAATACAAGTTGCACAATATCCAATATACACAATATTACTACTTTTCCCATACACCTAGCCCTACTACTAGGCATTAATTGTTGATGGTAAGCTTTGACTCTCATATATTAATGTTTGATTGTGACTTTTCAACTCTCTAAAAGTTGGTATCTATATATACATGCCATTTAAGAAACAAAGATGTTCATTCTCAAAGAAAAGTTCTGTAAGTGCATAGTAAAGAATTGCAAGAACAATGAAGAAAGTGAAGGGGTCAACTACCATACGTGGAAAAAGAAAACATAATGTTGAAGATAAAAGTACAATGGAAACATATCTGTTGTCCTACATTCAAACTCTATGAAATATTGACTTAATATTTCATTTGCAATATGTGCCTGATTTGCTTTACATATGTGTGTGAAATCTGCACCAAATTTTTTTTTTTTTAAAGTAATGTGAATTCTAGGAAAAAATATGCAATTGAAACATATATCAAATTTGTTGCTAATTGTGAAACACATGAGATGTTAAATGCAATTGAAACATATATCAAATTTGTTGCTAAAATATTCATTGAATGTTAACCAAAATAAACCAAAAATAAAATCTAATATATAAATGAAACACATGAGATGTTAAATGTATAGAGAATAATAATAAAGCCTTAAATTTTTCCAGAGTAATAGTAACCTGAATTATATATATAGATGTAAAAAATATAGTTAAAAATTACAAAAAGAATATTACCGTCCAAAGAAGGTGTTCACTGTATGTATCTCTTCTTTGTAACTCTATCCAGACAGCTTAGTTCCAGTCGTTTGCAATATTGCTATAGTTTTTTGAGGACATGTGCAGACACAAATAATAGAAATAGTATATTCTGCATTTGAAAGCTTACACTCTAATGTTGAGGTAAATGAAAATAATAATAATAATAATAATCTCACTGGAAATATATTTTTATACATGTTCTGTTCTGGTGCATAAACATAATTAGAATTAGTCAGTATTACAATATAGCAAATATTGCTCATCTAGGAAATGAAACAATGAAGGTGCAAATTTCCATCCATAAGGCTTGGCAATTATAGCTCTAAGTTGTTTCCTTTTATGCTCGGAATTTACTTACGATGTAAAACCCAGGCAATCAATCATCAACATATAATCATCTTTAATTTATGAGCAACTCAAAGCAGCTGAAGGATATTATATTTGACCTAAGATTTTCCAAAAGAAGGGTAGTTTTTCCCTTTTCTTGCTTGATTAAAGTTGGAAAGTAAAGAATCATATAGAACAGAACAGGGAAAGATTGAAAGAATCCTCTGAGACTAAAGAGCATAAGAACAACCAAAAGACAAGAAATTGAAAAGAAAAAAAAAATCAGAAACCTAAATAGTAGGAGACCAACTTATGTAACAGAACCAATAAGAGGGAGAGAAAACAAAACATAAATTATTTCATTAGCTCTAATATTTCTGAATATTGGGAAATTGTATGGTAAGAAACTATGCAATACGGATCAAGAACATGAAATCAAACTCCAACAATGTTAGTGTTGAAGAAGGATTATGGATTAACATTTGTTGTTTCTTAAAATTACAGGATATCATGTGTGTTCCGAAAACAGAAATGGCTGATCTCCACTTTTGGGATCAGCCTCCGTTTTTGTCTTAGTACATAGTTCAAATCAGAAACATGGAGGACTCATCCCATTTACACTACATTACATGAAGCTATTTTAGTTTTAAACTGGAATATTACACGTGTGTTTTCGAGCTTGCAGATTCATCTGCAAAAGCTTTAACGACTGCCGCACTAACCATCCATCAAAGCAGAAACAGAGCCATTGAAAATGATCTTTTGATTCTGAAAAAAATAATATATCAAGAAAACTGCAAGATGAGCAGGTTTCACAAACTAATGAACTCAGTTTTTTTTCTCAACAGTTAAATAAACAATTTTCAAATATTAATCGCATTTGAACTCAAATAAACTCTTAAAAAAATCTGACATATAAATTGAACACATGGGATGTTAAATCTATATAATAATAAACCCTAATTTATCCGACAAAATATATGCATATAAAAAATAAAAAATCTATAATAAAAACGCAGACATGAACAAAAATATTGCAAAGAACAAAATATTTATTAAAAAAAAAATACTTTGAAAATTATTGCATGTGTATAATATTCCTAAAATCGAAATATACACATCCGTCTAAACAAGAACATACTTGATTAAATGCAAAATCAAAAAAGGCAATGTTTTACCTTTCAGATGTTGTAGTCTCGATGCATGGTATTGTTTGCTTTGCCGCCCAGATTGTTTCTGCCCGCCGAACACCTACCGCTGGATCGAGGAGGATTAACCGATTGGTTAGTAGAGTTTCGTCCGGCCGGGTTTTGACTTCGGAAACTCCAATTACCTATAATTCCGGCGGTGGTGTGGTAATTTCCGAGTCGCAGCAATTTGTTCTTTCCCGTGAATTAATCCAGCGTCAGCTTCATTTCTTCTTTGCATGCAATCTCAATTTCTGGGCGATGAAATTTGGTCTGGTGCGATGGTAACTCTGGGCAGAACTTATTAATCTGCATAAGAACTCTTTTTTTTTTTTTCCCTTTAATTCATTTGCTATTGCTGTTTCTATTGGATTTGCTTATATTGAGCAATGTGTTTGTGGCGAGGTTTCTAGAAACGGTAAGGGAGAGTGTCGAGAGAGGACACAGAAGCGAGAAGAGAGGGGAGCTGCAATAATGTCTGCGTAGTCAAGATTTCTTTGGTCTTTTATTGTGGGCCGTGGGTCTTGAATTGGGCCGATGGTTTGCAGTTTGTATTGCTAGGATAAATGGGCCGATTGTTATACATGTGTGTGTCTATATATATATATATATATATATATATATATATATATATATATATATATATATATATATATATATATATATATATATATATATATATATATATATATATATATATATATATATATATATATATATATATATAGGGGTTTAGGCTGGAATTTTTTTGGGCAATATATATAAAATATCAATAATTTGATATATGTTTATGTTGGCCCAGAGTTATTGGATTATTATTTATTTAATTCAAGAAATTGTATTTTAAATTATATTGTCCTCTGATTTAAATTTTTGTATGGTTTATAGTGAAAATGTAAATTAAGAATGGTATGTTATTTTATTTATATTTGTAAATAAATTTTATTTATACTGAATTGATGTAGAGAATATTGATGATCAAGATTATTCCAGTGTTCATTGTGAACACCGTGGTGTGCATGGATTGTTATTGAAAAAAATCAGTTTTTGTTCATGAACAATTATATGTACCTTTGTCTAGAATTAACAATTCAAATGGTTAAGTTATTTATTTGCAACGCTAATGAAAAGTATGTTTCTTCAACGTCAAATGTTGTATATTTAATAATCTATAAAATTTGTATATTATGAATTGTTTGTTACATGGATATTCATGACAAAAAAAAAAAAAAAACATGTTCAATTATAATACACAATGGTTTGAGCTATTTTAGGTCTCAGATTTGTCATAAAAACTACGAACTCCAATTACAATAATAGGAAAATCTTAATAATACTTGGTTTTATAGTTTTGTTGTTGTCAATAACAAAATATATATATATATATATATATATATATATATATATATATATATATATATATATATATATATATATATATATATATTTTTTTTTTTTTTTTGTCCGTGCATCGCACGGGTAGAGTACTAGTTATACTTAGTACTTGGTTGTAGGTGATAACATAGTCTTACGAATAGGAATGTTTAACATATCTTAAGAATCCGTTTGTGTTTGGGCATGTTTGGTTATTAGCAGATTCATCAAAATTTTGACAAATCCGCTGACTGGTCAAAACGCCAAAGTCATTGTTTGGTTAACAGCGGTTTGGAGCAGCGGATTTAACAGCGTGTTGGGTTGGCATTTTGGGGAAGGTAATTACCTTCCCCAAAACTTTGGACGCGTATTGTAATTTTTTTTAAAAATATGTTATCTTTACGCGTCCAAAGTTCATGAACTTTGGACGCGTAAAGGTAACATTTTTTTTTAAAAAAAAGTAGAATACGCGTCCAAAGTTCACTCTGGACGCGTATTATAATTTTTTTTTATTTTATATTTATTTGATACCACCCAGAGCTGACCATGCCTTACTGGAATTCTTCGAGAAGAAAAGAAAGATGTAAGCTGGATTCAATGCCCTTACCACAGAAACATCATATACTAAACAGGTTGTAAATTCCAATCGACCCCAAACTAAAGAACCAGATAGTGAGGGCCGGAGCAAATTTGAAGACAACTTTACTTGACCCAAATCGCTATATGCTGAACAATCCACCAAGGATGACTATCGAAGTGATAATAAGAGCATCTGCAAAACAAACCAGTCTACTATATTCAACTTTAACCATGAAAACCAATGTATTGTAATAGTTACGAGTTTAATTTACGACAAGATTTACTTTCAAAAAACTATGTTTTGAGTCAAGGCAAAAGAACTATGAAGTGTACTCACTTGTTCCAAAACCCGATATCTGGAGAACACTACCCTAGAGAAAGGCAACAGCATAGGGCCCTTAGGACATGTAGTAAAGTATAGTAATAGGAAAAAGAATATGTCACACCTTTACATCATCAAACTTATAGTACTACCTGTGCTTGTTAGGCGCCAATGATCAGCACTAAAACCTGTACATGACTTTATTGGATAAATAGTAATAGATTTGAGGAAGTACAGAGTTGTGGTCTTTTCAGTTCCTTCAATTGGCAATGAAGTACAGACTAAATAAAGATAATAAAAAAAGAAAAGAATAAGACTCATTAATGAGAGGGCAGAAAGAGATCTTGTGGAGCAAATGATAACCTTTGATTAAAGGGGGAGCAGATCTTTCTCTTAAAGCACACCCATTTGAAGGAAATGACACAAAGGACCTCTCAATGAAATCAATGAATCTCTGAATACCAAATCGTAAGAAAGGCAGAAACAGTATTTCAGATGAACACAATATGAATAAGCTAAGAGTAAATGCTCACAGCTAAGAAAAAGAAAATTTATCAACCTCATCATCATTCAAGGCAATGGCACAAAACCAACTTACTTCTTAAAGTGCTAACCAAATGAACTGAAAAATGTAGGTAGAGGTAATATTGGGTAAAACAGTACAAGAAATTTATAAGTAGAAAGTCTATCCATAGCAAAATGTGCCTCATTTGATCAATAATTGTTTGTATTAGGGATGGGCAAATTAGTTCGGTTTATTCAAATCGAACCGAATCAAACCGGACGAGTTCCGTTCGATTTCAATTCATATAGAAAACCTAATGGTTTTAGTATTTATTGTTGGAAAAAATAGCTTAAAATGACATAAAATGACATATTAAGTGGCTATTTTGTGATACAATTATCAGCGGGGTCCACATCCGATTTGGGTCGAGTCAAAGTGGATTCGAGTTCTTCGTAGTGAGACGAAGAGATTGATATATTGTACGCACAAAACGGATAATGGGTGAATGAGATATTTATTCTCAAAGTAGACCCATTTGAGTTGGAAAATGAAGGGAAAAGAATAAGACTCATTTAGAAGATTCTGCACTCTTTTGACTGGAGAAATGAAAGATGAAAAGTCAGATTTTGGTGACAGTAGTGCTGATGAGCCTAAACTTAAATACTGCACAGAAGAATCTGTTGATTTCACTAAGATTGCTATTGACAAACTTCCAACTGTTATTATAATTGGACGCCCTAATGTTGGAAAATCCGCTTTGTTTAATCGGTTGGTATTGCTATGATATTCTTTATCTATAGTCATTAACCATGTCATTTTATTAATATGGTTGTCTTGTAAATGTTGGTATGTGATATTGTAGGTTGATACAAAGGAGGGAGGCCCTTGTGTACAGCACGCCTATTGACCATGTTACTCGAGATATTCGTGATGGGATTGCGAAATTGGGTGATTTGCGGTTTAGGGTGTTGGATTCTGCTGGCTTAGAGGCAGAGGCTTCCTCTGGTTCAGTTCTTCAAAGAACTGCAGAAATGACTGGGAATGTGCTGGCAAGATCTCAGTTTGCACTCTTCTTAATTGATGCACGGTATGGTAGACTCATCATCAAATTTTTGCATATTTGGTGAAGAAGTTTGAAGAAGGAAATTGTATATATATTATGTGTTTACCCAAAAGAACTGACCACAATATATAGGAAGTGAAAGGAAAGCTAAAAGACCCTAACTGTCATAGAATAAACCCTAGGGATACTAACAGACATACAATAAAAGCAAATAATAAAAGCATAGTATATACAATAAATAAATCATCTCAACATCCCCCCTCAAGCTGGAGCGTGAATATCAAAAGCTCCAAGCTTGTTACACAAATATTCAACTCTGAGACCTCTTAAAGCTTTGGTGAAGATGTCAGCCAACTATTCATTTGTACCCACGAATGAGGTAACAATTTCCCCGGATGTGATCTTTTCACGAATAAAATGACAATCGATCTCGATGTGTTTTGTTCTCTCATGAAAAACAGGATTGGATGCAATATGCAAAGCAGCTTGATTGTCGCACATCAGTTTAATTGGCCCTTTCACACAAATTTTTAATTCAGTCAAGAGATGCTTCAACCAGATTAGTTAACATGTTCCCAAGGCTATTGACCGATATTCTGCCTCTGCACTTGATCGAGCCACTACATTTTGCTTCTTACTTTTCCAAGAAATTAGGTTGCCACAAAGAAAAACACAGTATCCTGATGTTGATTTTCTATCCCAAGGGCATCCAACCCAATCTGCATCAGTATAACCAATAATCTATGTATTTCCATGATCCTTGTATAACACACTAGTTCCTGGAGACTTCTTGATGTATCTTAGAATCCTAATGACAGCATCCCAATGACTATCACACGGAGAGGCCAGAAATTGACTCACAATGCTAACTGCAAAAGAAATGTCGGGGCGAGTGACTGTTAAGTACAACAATTTCCCAACCAATCTTCGATATCTTCCTGGATCTGAAAAGGGGTTCCCTTGTTCCGGTATAAGCTTAATGTTAGGATCCATGGGAGTATCAATTGGTCTACAATCAAGCATACTCGTTTCCTCTAATATGTCCAAAGCATATTTTCATTGAGATATACAAATCCCCTGCTTTGACTGGGAAACTTCGATCCCTAAGAAGTATTTCAATTTTCCAAGATATTTTGTCTCAAAGTGTTGGAAAAGATGTTGCTTTAATTGGAGTATTCCTTCTGCATCATCTCCAGTGATCACAATATCATCGACATAAACAACAAGATAAATGCTCT